CTATCAACTGAATATAATAGCTTTAGCAAAATGCACTCTTCTCTTCCTCTTAATAAGTTGAATACATAGGTCCAATTATGTTCAGAAAGAATTTGGGATATTTTACAAAGCAGAACACACTGTAAATGAACACTTCTGACCTGCAGAAGTACTTAACTCTAAACACAAATGATGCTCACTCTCTCTCTGCTAATGAAAGGTAACCGCTGATAGGCAAGATAAAAGTGAAAAGCATTTCCAATTTGTTGAACTTAAAACCTATGACACTGATAAATGGATATGCAAATTCTGCAGTCCTTTTTTGAGGCACAAGATATTTGGATTAGCATGATATTTATTTTGGATTCGAGCCCAGTCCTTCTGTAGCAAGATTTATTGTAAATACCAAAGGCATATTCTCTTTCATTCAACAAAAATATTACTGGAAATAATTTCAGAGATATGAGTAAAGTGTTTCCTTATAAATTGTGAAATTAAATAACTAGGAAAATTGGTTCACTTCCAATAAAGAAAAAGTAAACACCTTTAATCACTCACACGGATATATAGACACAGAAACATACATGACGTACACAGAAAAAAAGCACTCAGATAATTTTGGATTGTGTTAAAGGTGAAGAGACTGGATTTGAAAAGAATTAAACAATTCTGCTCTCAGTTACACTGCCATAAATGCGGAATCAATTCCCTGAACTAAATTGAATTGTTCCAGATTCATACTGAGTAACTGAGAACAGAATCCGACCTAAAACAGAGTGGAAAATATTCAATCAGTTTAGAGAGCTGGTCTACTGCTTTTAGCTGCCCTTTACTGTACTGTGCATTACAGGTATCCGTGTAGAACGCTTTCCCATAGTGTCAGCACCAAACAGAGACTCAACAGGGCTAAGAATTTATTTCCACTAGTTGTGCCACTTATTTGCTGGGTGATCTTGGGCAAGTCACTTCATTTCCATGTGCCTCAATTTCCCTGTGTGCAAAAAAATGGGGATATTGCTTTTTACATCCTTTGTACAGCGCTTTGAAATCTATCAATTAAAACCCATATAGGAGTCAGGAACTACTATCATCATGATCTGCATTGGGATTATCTCGCCCAGCTCATGCAGAAATGACAGAGAGTCTTTGACAGGCTGAGGTCCATGACCTTACTAATATTCGGCAAAATCTTTCATTTCTTAATTCTGTCAATGGTCTCACTATAATCATAAGAACAGCCATACTGGGTCACACTAATGGACTATCTAGCCCAGTGTCCTGTCTTCTGACAGTGGGCAATGCTAGGTGCCCCAGAGGGAACAAACGGAACAGGTAATCATCAAGTGATCCATCCCCTGTAGCCCATTCCCAGCTTCTGGCAAACAGAGGCTAGGGACATCATCCTTACCCATCCTGGCTAACAGTCATTGATGGACCAACCTCCATGGATTTAGCTAGTTCTTTTTTGAACCCTTCTATAGTCTTGGGCTGCACAAGATCCTCTGGCAAAGAGCTCCACAAGTTGGCTGTGCATTTTGTGAAGAAACACTTCCTTTTCTTTGTTTTAAACCTGCTGCCTATTAAATAAGTCAGTTTGGGTATTTTATCCATACCTATGAATCTGCCTGGGACTCTTCTACGAATCTGATTGCTCAGAGTGTTTTCTGCTTCAATCACAATTGTTGACACTATGAGGGAAGCATCCTCTTCATCATAATTAGCTCCTGCTTGGAGATAACGCCATTTCCTCTTGTGAAGACATTTACAATTGACATTTCGAGCAACTCCTCATAACTTTGCTGCTTCAGAGTTATGAACGCAGGGCCTGACAATTCACACTGTACTCAACGGGATGGTTCCCATGGAGTTGTAATAGCCTTTTTCATCATGCCCTACAAGGATTTAAGACGCTTTTCGCGCACTAGACAATTTTACTCATGTTAATCGCGTAACCAAACCAGCAGTTTTGTCATAGGAAGGCATATCCATTAATTGCTGCATCGGGGAATGGTCCAAGGCCAAATGAAGACAAGGGAGGCACTCATTCCATTCATTTCAGTGATCTTTACATCACAGCCACAGTAATAGATTTTTTTTTTTTTGCCTTAGATACACATGTCCCCCAGTCACCATAATATCTGAGCATCTCATAATTTTTTATTGCATCTATCCTCACTAGACCCCGGTGAGGTAGGAAAATTCCTTTATCCCCATTTCACAGCCTGAGAACTGAGGTACACCTATGGGAGTTGGGTGCCTTGGTGCTTCAGAAAATCCCTGTTAATGCCTCAATATTTGGAAAACTGTGGTTCCCCGTGACTTTCCCCAGGTTACACAGGAAGTCTGGAACAGAACAGGGAACCGAGCCTGGGCATGCCGGGTCCCAGGTGAGCACCCTGACCCAAGTGACCCTTCCTCGCTTCCTTGGACCATGTTCTGAATCCCCAGGCAGGTAAATTGGGCTCGTTAAGTGAGGAGGTTGTGTGTGTCACCAGGAGGGGGATATGCAAATAAGGGAACAGTTTCCTGTTTAAATCTACAAAAAACACGAAGATTCTGGTGGCACCTTAAAGACAACACATTTATTTGGGCATAAGCTTTTGTGGGTAAAAAAACCACATGCTCAAATAAATCTGTTAGTCTTTAAGGTGCCACCAGACTCCTCGTTGTTTTTGTGGACACAGACTAACATGGCTACCCCTCTGATTATAATGCTATTATATAAATCAGTACTTTCTTCTCATCTGCAATACTGTGCTCAAGACTGGTGACACTATCACAAAGAGCTCACTGTAGAATTGGTGGAAGTTCAGATATGAGTCACAAGAATGATTAGGGGCATGGAAAAAACTCTGATAAGAAAAATGATTGATAAGATTGGGACTGTTTACTTTTAGTGAGGAGACAAATAAGAAGGGACATGACAAACATATGCAAATAATGAATAGTCTAGAAAAGCTGCATCTAGAAATTCTGTTCTCATCTGATAATGCAAGAACAAGGGGATAATGAATTTGTATATTCAAAACTTATAGAAGGAATTACTTATTCACAAAACTAATCGTTAGAATGTAGAACTCACTGCCATGTGATGTTGTTGAAACTAAGCATTTAGCAAGATTCAAAGAGGGATTGGACATGTATATAGATAACAAGACTATTCCGAGTTATAGTAGAATGTATGTTTAAAAACTAGAAGGGACATAAAATCTCAAACTTCAGGGTTAAAGTTGATCTTTGACTATGGGAGGTTAGGAGGAGATAACCTTGGGTGGCAGATTATTCCAAATCTGCCTCCTACAGAGTTTCTTGAACTTTCCTCTAACTTAGTACTAACCACTGCCAGAGACAGGATACTGAACTAGTAATTCCTGTGTTCCCATGAGAAATCCAAAAAAGGTCAGAGCCACTTTGAGGACAGTGGAGGGACATTGCTTGCTGGCTTTTCTGCCAACCACAGGCTTAGGTCTCTGGTCTCCCAGTGGCTCACTTTACATCTGGTAAAGATGCTCCTGCCTCATTTTATGTCTGGAAGTGACAGGGCACAGAATGAATTAATCTCAAACCTATTGCTAGTGGACAGACATCCACATTATAAAACTGTCACCACAGTGGGATTCTGAAACAGAGACTAAAGACATAAAGGACATGGAGTCTGAAATACCCTCTCAAACCGAACAAATGGAATGCTGCAAAAACAATGTGAACGTTCTTTCTTATTCTCAACTACTAGTTAATTGTAATGTTTCTTCCCTTTTTTAATTCATGAATGTCTGTGTAAATAGATGTTTTGTTTACATGAACATTTGGGGGATGGTTCTTCTTCATGAGCATACTTATGTTTAGATGTGAACAAGCATGTTAATTCGTGGACAATAATTCACCATCAAAAACTCTTTGGAGCTGGGACTGTGTATTCATGTGTGTGTGTACAGCACCTATTACAATGGGGTTCTCATATTGACTGGGACTGCTAGCTATTTTATTATAAATACTTATTATTTGCTATTCATCATTCTATGTTGTCCTAATTTTAAAAAATTATCATTTAATCAGAGAACAAATTCAACAGCATATTACTTGGGTGACCAGTCAGACACCATTAAATATGAATAGCATATTGCTGAATTGAACCATTCACAACCTGAAGACTTAAGTTTGATAATAAGTTGTTAAATGTTCATCCAAACTAACTGTAAATACTTCTGCAAAAAGCAGGTTTGGTTTCAAAACAATTCATGAACAGAAAAAAATGGTGAAATTACTCCAATAATGTATCGATTATAACATGACTAGCCCTACTCTCAGGAAACCTGAGAAGTGATGCCTTCAGAAATTGATTGAAACACACAGTTGGATAGAATGGGCTAATTTGCACTGTGTGTTGTACTTCTTCTGGTGATACAGGACTGGTAGTTCAGCACCTCTCATAAGCACTACATGCACTCAAAGGTTTTTAAAAAGAATGCCTCTCCTTTCTGTCCCTTCTCCCCCCCCCCCCCCCCAACCCAAGTATCTATTTCTATATCTCTATTCAAGAAGTTTACCTGGGGGTCCTGCATTCACCCAAACCAGCCCATTCCCGTTAAAGTTTGTTTCTTGCTTACATTGCTATTTCAAATTCCTACCCCACAAAAGACTCCAGTACACACGAAAGATTTGCCCCTTGACAAAATTCTAGAAGTGTGAAGTCATATATTCTATCTGCTGAATTGTCATAATCTATTTGCACACACTAGCAAACAACAAAACTCATTAAAATCGTTTACACTTCATAAACACCACAAGATAGAAGGCTAGATAAATTCTGCATTTAACTTTATCAAAGGAATTATCAAACAAAGCCAAAGAAATTGATGGCTTTTAGAAATAGAGTTTTCTGGGGTTATGTGAAATCCGAACATAGCCATAAATGCTTATATGCAAAATGTAATGTAGTGGAAGATTTTAAAGATTTAATGCAATAGCTTTTAATACAATTACGGATTTGATAACAATCACCCCACTAAATAAATACTTACCATACTCGTTATCATAGAAAATAATGAACTTCTGCCAGGCGTATTCCGTGACCACCCTCAATATAACATCATTTACATAGACGGGTGGGCGGACAGACAGTGTGTAGTCATCATTTCGATTGCTCCTGGTGAGGCCACAGCCACTTCTTGGAGTCCCAGCTGTTGAACGCTGGATGAAGAGGTGAGGGATGTGCATGGCATCTGCCAAGGACTGCAGGGATCCCGCCGACGTACAGCCAATGGAGCTGACAAGGGCCAGGATGCCTTGGTTCATAAGGTCGCATGCTGTAAGAAAACACAATGATATTCAAGATGACAAGGGCAGTTCAGTGCTCACAGCTTATTTTTCTGCTGAAACAAATAAATACTGGGAGCTGACATGCAAGAGCTTCAGTGAAGTAAAAAGAAGTTAGCGTTTTGTAAATTCAATAATCTTGTCTACTATAAAACAGACCAATCTAAAATCTACCTTGTGCTATAAAAGTCAGGAGGCTTGTCTATTCAGTTCAAACTGCCTTACCTATCATCACTACCAAGAGCAGTAAGACTGTTCCTTCCCCTGTCCTGGAAGTGAAACTCAGCTAGAACATAAACTTATTCTATAAATATAGCCTTTGGAAGACTCTTACAAACTAAACCCAACTATCAAAATAACTGGATCTTCTGGGGAGATAAACACTTTCCGAAGTCCAGCATGCCCGTTCTGGGAATAAGATATTTGCATTACACATGCAGAACTTGACAGAATAACAGCTCAGACTAGCTGTCAACTTTTGAAGGCAACTGAATATAGTCATGCACATTAGCGTGTCCAGAAAGAACCAAAAACTGAATGGCTCTTGGGTTATACAAGAAATGTACAGCATATGTAATCTAACTTGTCTATTTTAGTATTTCAACAACAAAAAAAACCCCACAGTCTTATAAATAGAATGCTGCTTTCAAAACTTAGGGCAGAATTTCTGCAAGTTTTCCCTCCTCACTTTTTGGAAAACCATGTTCATGCAAAAAGTAACACCTTGTAACTAATAGCCCAGTCAATGAAGGCTGAGTTACAGCAGAAGTTCTGAATATTACACTAATGACATCCACGTGAATACCAAAGGTACTTATGATTAATGTTAATGCAATCAATCAATAAAAAGAATAAATAATTATTTGGGCTATAATTTTGAAGCATTACTCTGTGAAATAAAGCACAGAGTGAAGTGTTTATTTTGTCTTTCTAATTGAGTTGAGAGCCAGAGCAAGTCAGCAACACCAGCTTGTAACGTAAGAGCACAAATCAGGGACAATTTTTTAAATGCCTAATTTGAGACTGGCAAAACTACATGTGCAGTTACCCTGTATTCATATATGCAAAACAGAATTGTGCAGGAAAATACAATAGGTATTTACAGGTGCATATGTAGTATTTTAGTTGTGCAATTACCCATTTTGTGTGCAGATTTTGTGCACACAGCAGGTCAGGACACAAATGAAGAACCCACGTGAAAAATTTGGCCTTTAAAGTATTATTATAGCAGACATATTTTGTTATCAGACCTGTTAGATCAGATTGTCATCCCCTTACACTACTCTACAAATATTCCCATTGACTTCAATATAACTATTTATGGCATAAGGCACTATTCAATGTGAATAAGGATGTCACAGTCTAGCCCTTATAATCTTACCAATGTAGCCAAAAGATTGTATGGGAGATCATGGACACAGAGAATCTTTTTCATATAAAATTAATACATTTACCATGTAATATTTAGCAGTATTCAAGAGTACATCTAAAAGATTCAAAAGAAAGTCACCGTGTAAGTCAAAATAATATACCATTCAAGAAATGACAATAACGATTGAAGGAAGAGGTTATTCAATACTTCACATCACTAGATTTATCCATCAGAATTATTTCATGGTTTTTGTTAGTGTCCCTCTGCACCAGGAAAAGTGTGGCTCTGCTGTGTAAAGTGGAGATGGATTTCCATGGGGTTATCCAGGGATGCACATACCCAGAGGCAGTGCTAGCCCATTGGGGGCCCTAAACAGGAATATTTCTCCCCACATACACAAACACAACGCATTCTAAAAAAGTGAATGGGGGAATCACTTTAGCTGCATGGGGCCCTAAGCAACTGTTTAGTCTGCTTATGCCTAGTGCTGGCTCTGCACGTACTCCTGAACATCATGGAGTCCAGCTCTCCGGGGCTTCCCTGCATAGCAGAGCACAAATGAACAAGTGAAGAAGGGCGAAGATGATGGCAAAGAATTCATTACTTCACAGGTTTTTTTGTCCTCCCCTCTATAATGTAGGCTTTTTGGGAGCCAATTGGGGTACTATGTTAAAGTAGCCTCCACAGAGTGGCTCCAAAGCACTGGAGCTGGGGAAAATGACCCCTTCTCCTGTGTAGATCCCAGAGCATAGCTTACTACTTGTGCTGGGTCCCAGAATGGATGGAAGAGACACTGTCAGGTTAAAAATGAGATAGACTAGTTAATGTCTCTTTTTACTCAGCTTCTAATCACTTTTCCAGTGCTCTTTTCATACATTGGGTAAATATTGTGATATCTAGAGTGCAAGTCCTGCAGGGAATGCTATTCCTTCCAAGATAAAAGTTGCCAGTGTCATTAAAAAAATTATCCTTTATTTTTAGTTTAGATTTTTTTTTTTTTGGTTACCAATCTTTGCAAAAAAGATTTTTCAGTGCTGCTGAATTTTAGGCCTAAATGGACCCGACAACGTCCCTTTACATAAAATATGCCCTGCACCCACAGTCTCTCAAACATGACTTTACAAAACACATCACAGTCAGAGACAGTCTTACAGAAATCACCCTGAGGATCCTTCTCATGTCAAAAGTCTATATTTCTAGGCACTCCTTATGACCAAAAAATAATCAGGAGACTCACTATAATACTGCAGAACAGAGGGAATTTTCCACGGTGCACTGTGTTACTGAAACAAAGCAAAATAGGAGGGGAAAAGCATACAGTTCAATGATGGATTTATTCTGTTGCTTCATGGGGCCAAATCCTGCTCCTAGCACACAGACTGAAAGAGCATCTGCAATCTGCTCACTCCAGGTCACTCTATTATGAATACTGTTGAAGCATGAGGACTGCAGTAGCCCCCAAGGCTCCTGCTTCCCCAGTTATGCATACAAGGAGTATGTGTGTGTGTTGAGATGGGATGGTAATCCAGTCAATTTTGCTGGCAAATGCACCTTCGCACCTACAGTTAGTCTTACAAACTCTGATTAACTGAATGTATAGGCAGTTAGGCTTGTTATTTGGAATGTTCATTCTCGCTGCATCAGTCTCCCATCGACTGAATTATTTTTTAGGTAGAGAGCCATCTCTACAGTTTATACCCACATAAACAAAACAAAACCATTTCCTGGCGTCAAAACATTATACACACTCCTCATCCAGGCATAACTCCCATTGGCTTCAATGGGAATTTTGCCTCTGTAAGAAGTGAAAGATTGAGCCCTATATATTATCTTTTTTAGACAGTGAAAAGCTTAATTAAATCTTTTTTGTGCTTATCCAAATTTTCAGTGGTAGGTTTTTTCATTTCACTAACTACAGCACAAAAGCATCTGAAAATCCTTTCTCCATTCCCTCCCAAGCTTGAAGAAATCAGCCAGTACTGTGTCCTACCTCTAAGTAAAAAGATTACACAAGGACTTTAAAAGCATCTTGTCATTCAAGACTCCTTTAATTTACTGTCACTACCTGAGAGGTCATATTTTAAAGCGGATATTGAATCTATTCCTAATATGATCACGCTACATTCTTTTACCATCAATACACCATAAACATTCCCATGTCTTTACATCCTTCTTCAATATAGTAGAAATGTCAAATTCAAATGGATTAGTATACAATTCTATTAAAGGTGTGACAAAGTAAGCCTTAAGGAATACAGGATTAATAATAATATTTACATATCTCAAGAGTTGTACACATTAATTTATCCTCACAAGCATCACATGGTGGATATATAATAGGATGGCCTGCCACACCTGTTCATTGATCAGACCCAGATGGGGAGGGGTCAGGTGACCCCTATAAAGGGCTAAGATAGCTCAGTAGAGAGATCTGTACCAGAATGTTGAATTCCTGGAGTAGAGCATGAGTCAGGAGAATTGAAGGGAAGGGTGGGTCCTGCTTTCAGCACTGAGGAAGGCAAGCCTCTAGGAAATGTATCCAAGATGAGCAGAGGAAGTGCTTTTGTTTTTCATGTTTTGCCTACTTTTATGTTTGAAGAAGAAAGCTGAGCCTGTGAAGAGAATTGGGTGTGGCAGAGTCTCTTTCCAGGCATAGGCAGCAGGTAATTACAGGAAGCTCAGTCACCCCAAATCTATCAGTCCAGTTCACCAACTGCCCTCTCCCCTGGCCCACTCGACACACACATGCCCAAGTCAAAGAGAATCCCCAATGAGCCCCATGTGACGCTGTGGCAGGGTGCTTCTAGCAGCGAAGGCCAACAGACCAGAGTGGGTAGCCAGGCCACTGCCAAGACCTTGGGACACAATTGAGCCACCATTGCCTGGGGATAGTGCAAGGCCAGGTGGGCTTAGCTCACTCTGCAACCCCCAGCCCCTGCCCCAGAAGACTGGAGCTATCACTGCCCGGGGTGAGTGCAGAGCTGGGCGGGCTCACTCTCCAACCTTCCCTACAAACCCGGCCAAGATAAAGCTTGGTCCAATCTTATGGGAAAGGAGTGAACATTCTAAAACAAAATGCCAGAGACAGATTTTCAGACCACTGAATAACGATCCAAATAGGCTCACCATGTCATGGGGCACTCAGAGCTCCACCCCCCACAACCCTACACCTTTTCAATAGCAGCGTAGCTATTAAGTTTTACTCAGCCCCCACCCCAAAGAGTATCTTCACCCTCAGGTGTGATGATCTCTTTCAATTCATTTCCCCTGTACTCAGGGACGTCCCTAGGGGGATGCGGGGTCCGGGACAAATCAGCCTCCCCAATAGTCTCCTCGCCGTCCATCCCGTGCCCTCCCTCCCCCAACGTCCACCCCTCCTCCTCGCCATCCACCCACCTGCCTGTCTCCTCACCCTGCTTGCCTGCCCACCTCACCTGAATATCAGGACAAATGGCGTCCCGATCATACATCGGTCAGAACACAGAACAAAGGGCTAAATATCGGGACAGTCCCAATTTTATCAAAGTGCGGGGCCCCAGGCAGTCACCCCGATTCGCCCTATGCAAGGGACGGCTCTGCCTATACTACAGCAGCCTTTCCACTGCTCCTCTCAGCTTG